TTAAACAAATAATTTTATATTTCCTGCAATGAGCCACAGTGAGCTGCACTGAGCCACAGTAAATCACAAGCCTCTCATTCTGACCACCAGGGTTTGATGCTATTTAATATACCCTGTCCAGATAGAATTTATGGGGTATTTAAAGGGACTGTAACTACTTCATCTCATTGAAGTGGTTATAGTGTCTGTAGTCCCCTGTCAATGTCTGTCCACTCATCATTTTTAATGCTAAAAGAGAGCCCCAGAAGCTCTTCCCCTCTATGCTGCTTGGGATAATGACGAAGAATTAGCTTGAACAGCAATGGGCGGGTGTGATCTTCTGAAAGTGATAAGGAAGTGTCTATTCTGTCTATGCCTTAGATGTATGCCTTAGACGTATAGTCATATTTATAACAGGGGCTCGACTGTGGGTGGACAGGTACCAAGTACCAGGTTCAACTGTTTGAATGATTTAACACTGAGTAGAGGCGCAGTGCCAAGGGACTCCAGGCCCCATAACCAATTCAGTGAGATTATATGGTTGTAGTTCCTACAAAGTCTGTTTCATGGGGGGAAAAAACACTGTTGTCTATAACCCATTATTTTGTAATGTATACATAATGTATTTAGAAATAAATATATAAATTGAACAAATACAAAATAATAAACAACACAAGGTATACTGCCATTTAAGGTTGCTCCCTTTGCAACAAACCTATGGACATTACTGGGTGTGGGTATAGTACTAAGCAATGATCAGACCAGCAAATGAACAACCAATCAGGATGTCACAATATTTTTCTAGGACAACTGCTATCAGTATCCTATAAACCTCTTGCATAGCAAGACTTTAAAACCGAAACATATGCTTTTGGTAATTTTATTTAAATCTTCAGTTTTACACTTAAGAAAGCTAGAACTGTGTTACTGGGGAAAGACTGCCGTTTAGGAGGGAGGGACAAGAAAGGAGTTGCCACACAAATCCAATTTCCTGGCACTGCAGAATCCTGCAGTGCCCCCCTCCCTCCCACGCCCATCCCATGTTGCTGAATTGGTTAAAACCCCTTCAGACACTTACCTGAAACCAGCGCCGATGTCCCTCGGCGCTGGGTCAGGCTCCGCCCTCGCTCCTCCCCCGCCGACGTAAACACTTTTCGTGTTTTAAGAACCCAGAAGTCCCTCTAGTGGTTGTCTGATAGACAGAGACTACAGGAGGACTTAACCCTTCAAGATAATTATTGCAGTTTATGAAAACGGCAATAATTACATTTGCAGGGTTATGGGTGATGGGAGTTGGCACCCAGACCACTCCAATGGGAAGAAGTGGTATGGGTGCCTGGATTGCCCCTTAAAATAGCACAGGTACAGAAACGAGCAAGAATGAAACATTTTATATTGGAGGAAGTTGCAAAAAAAAAAAAAAAGCATACAAAGTTAACCACAGAAACAAATAACTACAACCCTTGGAAACATGTGTTGTATTTCCATATGCTATGTAGCACCTTTTAAATAAAGTTAAATGGCAATCACCGCAGATGAAGAAATAGAGGGGAAGGGGTGGTCTATGGAGGAAAAACAAGTACTTTTAAAACAAAACACATTTTTAAAAACTCCTTAAATAGACTGTTACATTACATAGAACCTACAGTATTTGGATTGCAATATTCACTTTCTCTGCAGACATTGGCGTGCCTGTTGTACAAGAACGTAAAACAGAAAGACGTGACCATTTGGTAAATAGATAATTGGGAAATATAAATGGAGCTGAATTCACAACAACTGAATTGTCAGAATGTTTCTTGTACCTTTATTACAGCCTTGCACTCAGAAACCAATCATTTCCACAGTGTCAGGGCATTTCTGCCTATACAAGGCAGCACTCTGTATACAGGACACCCCTTTCAAAATCTCTAACATCACCATTGTGCAAACCGTGTCCCTGGCATACCCTCACTCCGGCCTGCCCCTTCCTGTAACAGCTTTCTGATTGCTGATGGCATTGCCAGGATTACAGACTCCAGATACAGAGATTCAGGTTCTTTATAGTATTGCTGTTTCATTGTTTGTTTGTTTGTAGTGCTGTCATTTCTCACAAACATACCGATGAAGGCTGTAGATTTCTTTTTCTGACACTGAACATGCTGCTGGCGTTTTCCATTGTGTGTGAAAGTTTTTTAATTTTTGTTAATGCTACAAGGTGTGTGCTTTTTCTTTTGTCATCTTTTTTTTTCTTCGTTAAGCAGTGACTCAGTTCATCTGCCCGTGGTGTTGTTTACAAGACAGGGATGGGCTTTTGCTGGATAATAAAAAAAAGAAGGAAAAAAAAACAACCTTTTGCTAGATTATTTCCCTGACGTGGTGGAACACTTTGCTCAAGTCATGCTATCACAGGACTCAAACCTGAACAGCTCGTGGATGCAGTTAGTAAATCATTATAAAGTAAAGAGGCAATCAGGGTTATTCACGAAAGTGAGAATTCAGGGGAAAAATGTAAAAAATAGACAAACTGGAAAATTGTCAAATTCTGCTATGGTTCCAGTTAAGCTACTCTGACCTTACTCTTACTCTGACCTTCACTTTGAATTCTCACTTTAGTTAATAACCCTGTATATATATATGTGTCTTTAAAAATATAGGCAGCAATGAATGTCAAACCGAATGGAGCCTGTATCCTGGATTAACACATTCATCACCAGACAGATTTGCTATTGAACACCAGCCTGGCAATAATGGCCTTGAAGCACTTCCGAACGAGTTATGCAGATCCTAAATTACAATGGTAATGCTGGCATAACGTTAATTGAAGGCAGATGTGTTAATTATATCTACAAGGGTAAAATAGAAAGTGTAAAGAGACAATTCATTTCCAAGAATGGATAGTTAATGAAACATTCTGGCTGGAGAAGCATTGAGTAAATGGTTAACAAGTGATTGTGTCAGTTTGGCAGTATATAAAGAGGTTACAGGGACACAAAACTGATACTATCTTCATCTATTGGTGGAATATCTCTTTCCACTCTCAGCCAGCAGCTAGGAGTAGAAGTCATCTTTCCAAACCAAATTTCATCACAATGTAGCATGTCAGTCAGGCCAAGATGCAGCACTCAAAGGGAACATCCACGTTCGTAAATGGATAATTACCTTAAAACATTAAAGGGCCACTAAAGGCACTCATTAAGATAAAGTGGCCTGGGTGCAGTGATCCTGTCATTTTAATCTTGCAATTGAAGGATTAATACGGCTCTAGTGGCTGTCTTACTGCTAGTCATTAGAAGCGCTTCCATGTTAAAAGCCAAGCCAAGTACAAATTAAACTGCTCGAGCAGGGGGGAGGGGCCTGGCAGCCAACCTAGTAGGTCGCACCTGGCTGGAGCTATTGGGCTTTAGCCTAAAAATCTACTGATTCACCTGCAAAAATCCCCCTAATTTCATGAAACGTGCTACTATACGACTAGGAGTGTGCTCAGCCTAGTGACCAGCTATGGCATTTGCGGGTTCTGTTGGTTTTGCACGTTCCGTACTGTTTTGCAGCCTATGGTGCAGTCTGGGGCAGTGGAGGGGGCTGATCCTCTGCCTTAGCTCGACATTATCCCAACATGGACCCCTTTCTCCTCCCTTTGGACCGGCAGGGGTCATCTCAGTCCCCACTGGCGAGCCCCTTGATCTCGTCACCTGGAATTTTCAGGTTACACTCACAATGTCAGCAAGAGGCCTGCAAACCATGATGGCCGACAACCCGGGGACTGCCCAACCTCAGGCCTACATGGAGAAGCCTGCCCAAGTGGATTCACTGGCACTAGTGATTGATCACTTGTTTTCCAGCTTCTGGGAAAAGATCTCTAGCTGAACAGTGCATACTATACCTGTGAGTCCAGCAGTGGCGGATCCAGAGCCTGATCTCGGGAGGGGCACTTGTAGATTATTTAAAGAAATAATCCAGACACAATAACCACTACAGCTCAGTGAAGTAGTTATGGTGCCAGGATCCCATCCCAGAGTAAGTAGTCAAACCGTTTAAGAACCGTTTGACAACTTACCTGGGGTCTGCTGCGATATAGGGCATAGGAGCAGTGGTATGTGTTAGGGGTGAAGTGTGTATTAAAGGTGCAGTGTGTGTGTGAGCGGTGAAGTGTGTTCGTGAGGGCGGCAGTGTATGTCGGGGTTGCAGTGTGTGTGTGTTAGGGGGCAGTGTATGTGTGGGGCAGTGTGTGTGAGCAGTGCAGTGTGTATGTAAGGGGGCAGTGTGTGTGAGAGTTGCAGAGTATGTGTGTTTGGGGCAGTGTGTGTATGGGGGGCACTGTATGTGTGTGTGTGGGGCAGTGTGTGTATGGGGGCACTGTATGTGTGTGTGGGGCAGTGGGGGCACTGTATGTATGTGTGGGGCAATGTGAGTATGGGGCAATGTGTGTGTATGGGGCATTGTATGGGGGCAGTGTGTGTATGGGGCACTGTATATATGTGTGGGGCAATGTGTGTATGGGGGGCAGTGTGTGTATTGGGCAATGTGTGTGTATGGGGGGCAGTGTGTGTGTATGGGGCAGTGTGTATATGGGGGCAGTGTGTGTATGGGGCAATGTGTGTGTATGGGGGGCAATGTTTGTGGGGGGAAATGTGTCTATGGGTGTGCAATGTGTGTATGGGGGGGGGGAAGGAGGGTAGGGAGGCTTTTTAATATATTTTTTTTCTCCATCCCATGTCCGGTGGGGATTCCCTGGTGGTCCCAGTGGTGGTGAGGTAAACTCTAGCCCTTTGCTCCAGGGCTAGAGTTCACTCTTGCGAAATTTGGAGCGTTGCCATGGCAACGCTCCGTGCTCGCGAGAGGAGGACCCGGAGGAGCTGCAGCCTGAGCTCCCAGGTCCTCTCTCACTCCCTCCCCTGCCAGCTGTCAGCATGGTGCCTGCGGACCAGGGAGGGAGATTTCTGATCTCCCTCCCGGTCCGCAGGCACAATCCAGGGCTGGCACTTGGACAATGCCAGCCCTCCATTAGCAGGCAGGGGAGAGCCTCGGGGGGGATCCACCAGTGGAGTCCAGTCCAGACAGTCCTGACTAAGTCTCCGCAAAGTATCACACACCTCTCGTACACGACTCTGGCTATAAGAAGGAGACGGCAAAAGTCGCAGCAGACACAGGTTCACCCTAAACCTGCCATAATCTCCCGCAACCGCATCTGCACCCAGTACTCCAGAAAGGGCCAAACCAAGGTGCCCAAACAGCGCAGTCAGAAGGCTCCCGCTCAGCAAGGCCTAGAGCATGCTCCAAAATGTCACAGAGGATTTACTCCTGGTGATGATTATGCCCAGAATGAAGAGGGCGCATTACTGGACAGCATCCACGCTTGCATCTGGTGGAGTGCTAATCCATGGCTGAATGGACTCTTGAACTGCTGTGTTCCGTGCCCAACCATCTACTGGTGTCGGCTGAGCAATCCTGTGTGGAGACCACAGTTACTCCATGGCTACAAATGTGGGCCTCGCTTGCCATCATTACACGTTTTACCGTGGTAACATCCTGCGTTATATTTAAGCAACCCAGTGGTTAACACCGCTTGTATTCTCTCAGTTTAACTATGCAGTGTTAATTCCTGTTAATTCTCCTGTCCAGTTATTCACACGTGCCTAGCTAAATCTGTTCTGAACATAATTGGACATGGAAGTATAGCTTGTATATGTCAGTTTAACAAAAATGGTGCACTTTCCCTGATTGCCACAATGCTGTTTATTCTATGTATTATGTTGTGCTTGACTATGCGGTTGGGGCACTGCAAGCATCTATGTATTATCTTACGTGCCGGTAAATAAGGTGGTTGGCTTTTGATGCCTGCAAAGTTTCTTTAAAATAGTTGTGATCGTATATGAAATTACGATGGATTGTCATTATTATAAGTGATCTGTATTATTACTGCATTAAATAAATAAATATACGAATACAAAAATTGAATAGGAAGGATAATTTTATCATAAACAATGCAATAGTGACAATAGACATATTCTATAAGTTATGGTGAATTGACTACACGCTTAAAAAACTTAGTAAAAAAAAGTTGATTTAGATGCAGGGGCACAATGTATGCACCAAAACTACTACATTAAGTTACAGTTTTTTGGATGCCTAAAGTGCCCCTTTAAAGGCTCTCCAGTCTGGCTGTCCATCATTTCTCTAAGCAAAGCAGAGTATCTAGCAGGCAATGACCCAGGTCATTTAAGGTCGGTCCATCACCCAGGGACCTGGTGGTGTTCTCTTAACTAGACGGGAGGGTACAATGTTACTTCGCCTAAAGTACCATCATAAAATAGTTTAGATGAAATGATAATAACGTATGCGCAAATTTAATTCTCCAAAATACATATAAACCAATGTGACAGCAAGTATATGTTTTCCAGTAGTTTGAAACATTTAATGACATATTTCAGCTGACCGATGGTAATGTAACACTAAGGGAATGTTATATAATGCCAAAGCCGAAAATTAATTTCACGCATTTTATAATGCAAAACCGTCAATTTAGAGATCCCTTTCGATTTAGTATGCAATGTACTGCATCTGCAAAGCAGACACAACATGTCTGACTAATTATTTTGCTGTAACAGTTTACTACTGTCTCTTGGCGACACTTTGGATAAGAGATTGGAATTTCCCAGTTGTCCGGCCCTGACAATACTTGCAGAGATATTTGTACACAGTAAACGAGGCATGAACAACAGCTGCGACTGTAATACTATATAGAAACTGAACAGAACTTCATTAAGATATGATCAAAGATGAGATTAAATGGTCAATCCAGTTCCCTGTAAAAAACATTCTGCATTTTAAGAGAACAAATACAATCAAATAATTAAAGGGACACTATAGTCACCAAAACAACTTTAGTTTAATGAAGCAGTTTTTGCATTTAGACAATGCCTTTGAAGTCTCACTGCTCAATGCACTGCCCTTTAGAGGTTAAATCACCTTTGTTTCTGTTTTTGCAGCCATAGCCACACCTCACCTGGCTGTGACTGGCACTGCCTGCATGAAACGAAAATGGTTCCGTTTTTAATCTGATGTAACTTATTTTAAATGTTATTACCTCCTGCTCTGTACATTTATCTTTAATTACATACTGGAGGCTCCTGCAGGGTCTAACAAGCTATTAAAAGAGCAGGAGATATGTAATTCTGAATTAAACAGAATTTGCAATACGTGAAGTGTAAACATTAGATGTCTCTTTACAGGAAGTGTTTGGGAAGGCTGTGCAAGTCATATGTAGAGAGGTGTGCCTAGGACTGCATTAACAAAGGGATTTAACTCCTAAATGGCAGAGAACTGAGTGGTGAGACTGCAGAAGCCTCAACTATACACCAGAACTCCTTTTATTAAACTAAAGTTGTTTTGGTGACTATAGTGTCCCTTTAATACTTATACATATAGTTTAGAAATGCTTTTGGCTCCTCAAACTGGAGGATTAGAAAATAAAGAAGATAGAAAAATAAAAAAAGATGTGTCTTCAGCATTACAAATTAACACATATACAAAAGCTGGTATTCTCTTCTGGTTTGAACCACAATCTGCTCAAGTCCTATTTCTCTTTATGGCTATTTTACCTCCACAAAAATGGTTTCCTTAAATATTGCTAAAGCTACAGTTTCAGAGTTCTCTAATCCTTAAACAAAACATACCCTCACACCTTACAACCTTAGGATGATGAATATGTTTGTTCATACTATGGTAGGTAAAGGGTCTGTTGAATTTTCCTGAAAAGCTATACTTTTATTGATAGCCATGGTCAAACTTTACAAAGATTGCCATCCATTATTCTTCAGCTACTACACACACACACATCATAATCATAAAAAGCAAATTGTAAACACTCAAATTGAAGAAATGCAATGTTTCAGACCGGACTTTATAAAGTTAAAGAGATACTCCCAGCGCCAAAACAACTTTCATTTAATGAAGTAGTTTTGGTATATAGATCATGCCCCTGTAGTCTCACTGTTCAATTATCTGCCATTTAGGAGTTTAATCTTTGTTTACGCAAACCTAGCCACACCTACCAAAGATGTGACCTACACAGCCTTCCCACGCACTTCCTGAAAATTGGTAGGTTTTTTAAAATTTGCCTTTAATTTAGCATTTCTTATCAAGTCTGTTAATTAATGTCTACTGTCTACAGCAACCTCCTGTGTGAAAGAGCTTTATTTCAATATCCTATATGTATTGCAAAGAACACATTAAGTGAGATAAAAATGTTAAAAATGACAACATTTTTCTTATAATAATGCTTACATATATTAGTAAAACTAAATAAAAAGAGTTTAAAATAGATTCATATGTCAGTCCTGATGATTAAATACTTAATTTGTCTAGAATCTAAATGACTTTTTGTTAGCTAATGCTAACCCTATACCAACCCCCAAACTCTATACCAACCCTACCCCTAACCCTATACTTACAATAACTCTACCCATTTACCTACCCTAACCTTAACCGTAACATTACATTAACCATAAAACAGCATTAACCCTTACCTTATCCTAACACTAAATTTATACAAACCCTAACCCTACAACTATCCCTATCCTAACACTAGTCCTAACCTAACATTAACCCTAACTCTACCCTAATCAGTTTTGATCACCAGTTAAATTTGCTAGTTAAAACAGTTGCCACCATCTGCAGTTGCTGCCATCTACTGGCTGTTTTCAGCATTACAAGGTAATATTGAAAATCAGACATGCCAGTTACACTGTGGCAAAGTCCAGCTTCGATTGAAATTAGCATGGGGCTATGCTGGAGGTGTACCGTGAGCATGTGCCAGACCAGAATCACTACAGCTTAGTGCAATTGCACAGGTGGTGTTCTCAATTCATTTATATTTATATTGTAAAGCGCTACGAAATCTGTTGGCACTATATAAATGGCAATAATAATAATAATTTAAAGTGCTATATGCAGTGCCTACTTTGAGTGCTCTATACAACTCATCAGTTACTCTGGGACAATTAAACTGATTAACTAGATTGATACCTGGGTCACCCTGGTGTGATTTAACCAAGTTGTAGCAATAGACATTTAAATGTCTATTTAAAAGGCTGTAAATACAGCGCATCTGTTCATCTGAGGCCACTGAAAATCATTTGATACCTGGTCCTCTTGTGTGAGCAGGGATTTAAATCTGATCACAGCAAAATGTTAGGCTGTTTCATGGCGTCCTGACATTGGGAAGGGGTTAAGCTAAGTTTGCTCATTATTTTTACTTTAAACAGAAACAATACTTTGTCTCTTTTATGTGATTATGTAGCAATGTATTATAAGAAAGCTGGAAGAATTTAGGAATATGGCACAAATACTTTTTAATAATTAGTATAAGTAGGGGCATCTATTACAATACAGTATGTAGCAAAGAATTAAGGGTGCGATTAGTTGGAATAACCACTTCCCCAAGTAAACATACTATAACCCACAAAAACCAACTGCACACCTAATGGTTTAAATAAAACAATAGGCTTAATTTATTATAGCAAAAATAAAAGATAGACAATTGATATAGACACATATTTCAGCCCAAGGGCTTTGTCTTTAAATGCAGAAATTTGACTTAGAGTATATCAATGTAATACATACAGAAGGCACATAAAGCGATACTAGTGTACATAATAAATATTTAAAAAAACAGAAAAAAAATAGCAATAATAAAGAAAAATACTGTACTTAGTGTTTCAGCTCTTAATCTTAACACATTGTGCGCGAGAGAGACACAAATAACACCCGACATTTCGACCTAGAAAGCCTTTTTAAAGATATATTTAAATTCTTACTTTTGTACATACCACCGACAGTATCTATTATTTTCAGTAAACTGTCTTTAAAAAAACAAGTATATCGCCCATGTCTGCTGGAGTAGGTAGTAGACAACCATGAACTCAGTGTTTACAAAGTAACAGTTGGTCACATATTTCTGTGTATGTTTACATATCCAAGGGAATATTAAGGATAATCAACAGTGATTGTGGAGCAATTGCTAAACACGTCGTCTTCATATCATATGGAGTAACAGATGTTGTTTTATAGCTATAATCAAACCCTTGTGACATGAAATGGTATATGGCCATCTTTCTTTTGTCTGATGAAGCAGTGTAGTTAATATTGAACACAAGTAATCTAATTTCACTAAACATGGGATGCGTCTACTGTTTAAGGTATTTAAATGACCCCAAAAGACTCCTTTGGACAATGTATGTATTTGTGGCTATCTTTACATCTTCCATCATTTGGAAACATTGTGGATACTTTGCTTAGCAAACCGTCAACATATTGCGCTTCGGTCCTTAGTAAGTCAAGGATCAAACAAGGTCTGACGGTTAAAAGCAACCACAAAGGTAAACACTGAACTGTGCTGAGTTGAAAACAAAAACTCTGACCAACACAGTCATGTTGAGAAAATACAAAGCGGAGATAGCCGAGACATCTTACATCTTAACTATTTCAATGTATTTTTTTTTTTTTACAGATGTAATTTTCAATT